CCAGTCATCCTCACCTCAGCCCCTGGAAAAATCATGGAGCAGATCTGCAAGGAATCCCCAAGGAGGAAGAGCTGGAAGTCCTCTCACAGTCATGGCACTGGGATGTGACTAGCAAATTGCCCATCAAGAATGATGGGGGTGGGGGCAGGGACAGAGGCCTGTGTCCACACCCCCACCCCACCACTTCAGGTCCGGACCCCTGTCCCCGACCCACAACTTCAGGTGTGGGTCAGGCTTCCCCACCTCCACCGCCCCGCCGCCTTGGGTCCTGGTCTGGATTCCCTCCTCTCACATCTGGGCCTGATTTCCTCCCCCAGGTGCTTTGGGTCCAGGTCCAACTTCCTCCCCTGTCCTCCGTCTCCCCCCCCCACACTGCTGCTTCGGGTCTGGGTCTCACTTCCCCCCTCCCTCCACCCCCATTTCCCCACTGCCCCTTCGGGTCCAGGCCCACTCCTCCTCCCCTCTCCCATTTGTGTTAGGTCCAGGCCCACTCCCCCCCCCGCCCGACACTTCAGGTCTGGCTCCCCTTCCCACCACTTTGGGTCTTATGCCTCTCCCACCTCACCCCCACCTCTGGGTCTTCCCAGCCCCTGTCCACCTCCCCATTCCCCTCCCTCCCTGTGCTCCACCTCTCCCAAGATGCATCGCAGCATGGCACTCCCGGGGGGCCCAGCTCCACATTGCTCCCCCCAGCCCCACTCCCCCCTCTGTCCCTGCCCACTGCCTCCCCTCCCCGCTGGCTGTTTTGGGGGGTGGCAGGGCCGGGCAGCATGGGGGCTGTCACCATCATCCCCCACCCCGCACCCTCAGGCATGGAGGTGGGAGAGGGAAGCCCAGATGCTTGGATGGCCAGGGCTTTTTCCCCCATGCAGCCCGGACTGCCCAGCCAATCAGCACCCATCCTCTCGGTGGCGCATGTGCAGTTGGTCTGGAGCGTTATAGACAGACAGACAGACAGACAGGCCAAGCCCTTTACTATATTAGAATTGGAATAACAGAGACTTGGTGGGAGCTCGCATGCCTGGAGCACTAGAGCAGATGGAGCATCCCGCAGGAGCAGGCGGGAGGTGGAGCGGCGCTGCCTGCTTGTCAGCAGACCCAGAAGTGGACCAAAAGTACTTCTGGTATACTTCTGGGTCTTCTGGGAAGCATGCTTGGAGGTCCCCTCGTGCCTCTGCGGTTTGGCAATCGGCCGTGAGGAGACCCTGTGTGCCCAACTGAGACCCAGGAGGCACCTCAGTGACAAGAAGTTATCCATTTCTACTAAGTTTGGGAAGTATCAAGAAATTGATTAACAACCAGGGGAAAGACATGTTTTTTGAGGAATTGTCCTTGGAAGATTAAGGGAACCACTAAGGTAAAACAAGAGTAAATCAGGAGGAAACATCTATCACATATAGAGAATGGCTCTTCCTGCACAGGACCAGGAATTAATTGCAAAAGAACTAGTTACTATACTAATTATTCAAGGACAGACATTTTACACAGCTACATGCCAGACAACAAGAGCCTGCTTAAACTCATCATGAATACAGTAAGGTATTCATGGAAGGGATACCTCATTATTTGTTGTCAGACAGCCTAGACACAAACTCACATCTTCTTGCACTGTGCAATTGTCATCAGTATTTTGTATTTTAACTTTTGTGAGTAGGCCCAGCTTAGCTTGAGTTTCACAGTCATCCGTCACTGGGGCCAGACTGGAACTGGACATCAAACGACAGGAAGGATGAGTGAGCCCATTCCCCACCCTTCCTGTCAACACGGGGAGGGGCACTAACATGCAGTCTCAGGGGGTGCCAGGGGCAGGGCAGCTGGGGTGGGTGCCAGTGTACAGCTTCAGAGATGCACTGAAGCAGGGAGCTGGTCATCTCCTTTCTGGCAGCTGGACGTGGGGCTTTCCCAACTCAAGCTTCTCCCTTGCTCTTGCCTGGGGAGGCAAGAGGAGAGTGCACAGTGTAAGTCTTTAGCACCATCAGCCTGTAACCAGTGACACAGGTGCCCCAGCCCCATGATTCGTGAAGGACTGGTTGGGGACCTCACTGCATGGGACATTCCTGCAACTCTCTGGGTCCTGGGGTCCCCACCATGGGTATAGGAGACCCACTAGCTCCAGCTTGTGAGTGATGGTGTGATGCCAGCACCTTGCAGCTGCAGAACAGGCTGTGGCACATGGTCCAGTGACATGAGGGACAGTGATGGAGGGGCTATCCTGAGCTTGGGGGCTCATTGCCTGGCCCACAAGGAAGTGCTATCCTGCATCACAACTCCCAGCCCAGCCCTTGGTCTCTAGTTGGTATCTTACACGAAGGGCTCCCCTGGATCATAGCAGCCCCAGCACTACCCCTCTTGTCTCCTTCGGCTTAGAGATGTCCCACACTCCCATATTACCATCCTTTGTGACACTCCCTGGGGAGCCCTCACATCTTCAGAGGAGCCCCAAACCCCTCTCCGCTGTCTCCTGTCTGAGCACTGAGAACAAGCTGGGCTACGTCACAGGTGCCAAGTGCCTCACTTCCACTGGACTCATTCAGGCCTTGCCAGCTCGTAGCAGAGGAAACATTGCCAGGTTTGGGAACCACTCCTTTCATTACATTCATGTTATAGCTCCCCTCCTCCACAGCAGAGGCAGCCGGGATTTCCCAAGTGCTTTGATCTCACAGTTCATGCACATGGTCAGTAAGGCACAAGCTCTGTAAGGCTGTCCAAGGCCAGGCAGAAATAAAGGACTCCAGCCACAAGCGTGGGAAACAGCTGCCGGGCTGGGCAGCACAGGCTGTGCTGTGAACATCTAGGGGCTTGGTATGCCATTAGTAGACTCAATAAAACCTAACTTCAAATTTTCACCTGCATATTACACCCCACCACCCACGTGGATCGAGGGGGTGACATCCTCAAAAACCAGCTAAGAGCCCTCAGCGCAGGGCACCAGGAGCTGCCTCTGCTCGGGTCCCTGATCAGCAGGTCCAGACGGGCTCTCCTGAGCTGTGGGCTGAGCCTCACGGGGAGACTCCAGAAGTTTCTTGCATGAATGGTGCGTGCCCCCAGTGGCTGGTGGGGCACGGCTGTGCTGGGGGCAGTGGGAGCGTGGTGGCGGTCAGCCCCTGCCAGCACTTCAGTCACGGTGGATTTCTGATTGCCAGCGTTTGCCCCATCCACCACCTGTCACTGACAAGGAATATGGCAGCCATGGGGAGGGAGGAGGCATCAGCTGCAGTTAAGGGGCTGGAGACTGCCTGACTTGGCTCCAGGGCCCTCTGCCGCTGGGGGAAGAGACCCAGACCCGGGCTAGCCCCTGAGGGACTCTCTACATGAAGGAGGGCTGTGTGGATTCAGGCCTGGACGGGACCTCAGCCCTCAGGAAATTCCTCATCCTGGGGTCTCCACAGTGTGTGTGGGAGACCCCCTGGCTCCCGCCGGGGAGGGGGATGAAGGGGCTCCAATAACTTGGAGCTGCAGGATGGGACATGGCCCTTGCTCTCCTGGGGCACAAGTCTCAGCACAGCTCTAGGCACATCTCTCTGCGATGGGTTCCCCCAGTTCCTAAAAGCCCCCACGTTATCCCTGCCCTCACCTCAAGCTCAGAGGTGCTCCACCAGCCCAGAGTACCATCCTTTGTGTGACACCCTGGGGAGCCCTCACACCAGCTCTTCAGTGCAAAGTGCCTCAGCTGCACCAGACTCATTCAGTCAGTGCCTGATCACAGCAGAGGAAAGTTTGCCAACTTAGGGAATCGCACCCTTCACCTCATTTGTGCTAGAAATGGCAGGTCCCCTTCTCCAGAACAGATTTTCCCAAGTGCTCAGATCTGATCTCCCCTTTCGCAGACCATCAGTAAGGGACAAGCCATGCTCATGATGTCCAAGGACACTCAGAAAGCAACAAGCACAGCCAGAAGCATGGGAAAGAGCTGCCAGGCCGGCCAGCACAGACTATATTGTGACCATGCAGGGACATGAGACCTGTATTACCATTAGCAGGTTCAAGGAACAAGAACCAGAGATTGTCACCTGCATGTTCAACACCTTCACACGCTCACACTCTCAGTAGCTGATGTCCTCCAAAGCTAGTGGAAAGCCCTCAGGGCAGGGCCCCAGAGATGGCCTCCGCTGGCA